GAGAAGAGGTTTGATAAATTACGATTTGGACGAACAATTTCTACTTTAGCGCTTAGGCAAACATAACAGTAAATCCTGTTGCACCGGTTGACAACTTGTTCTATTTCAAGTTCCAAATAGAAAGATTAATATTGCATATGGTTCCTGTGCATTTATGTTTACAGATTGGTGAACAAATAAGATAATATTTTGCTGATTTAATTTTTCAACACGTGTGCGTCTCCGAAAACCATTGGTCTTGGATTGAAAAGAAATAAGAACATTGTAGACAAAAAAAATGTCTATATCTCTCTCTGTCTCTGTCTCTGTCTCTCTCTCTCTCTCTCTCACATACATACATATATTACATACATATGACACACATATATATCACACACACATACATACACATGCATACATATCACACACATATATATCACACACATACATACATAAACATATATACATATAACACATATATATCACACGCATATCTCACACACATATACATGATAAAATATTGTTTTAATGTATGCTAAACCTTTTTGTAAATGTAAATATCAGAGATAGAGCGTATGTAAACTTAAACTCCATGTACCGACAGTGTGCTTCAACGCAATCATTAGACCATAGGCATTGAGCTTTGCCTCGACTATTTATATATGCTGGTCAAGGCAGCATTATGTATAATAAAGTCTATTGTAGTATTGAAACTGTTATTGGGTAGGTTTTAAATCATTTGTTTCAAATTAATCTGGAGACTATTGAGTAGTAATATATAAAGGAACAATGAAAAATTAAAAGAACAAAAGAAAATTTATTCCTTCAAAAATTGATTCTTTTCATTTGCCTGAAGAAGGTCATGAAACTCAAAACTGATGTAGCAAAAAATATGAAGAATAAAATATAATATAAACGCTAAAAATAAAATATAATATAGACACTAAAACAAATCCACATCATAACCAAAAACTTTTAATGGTTTCTCTCTTTTTTAAAATATACATTTTTCTCTCGTTGGAACAACTACAACATTTTATGTGTAATGAATGCATAGGGGGGGGATGGGAGAGTCGAGTTCCAATAAGTCGCGTTTAGTGTTGCAAATACATTTGTGAAAGGTATAAGAAAACGTTAGTACAGAGAAATGACAATAAAATAAATAGATTCAGAAAAAAATTATTCCTTTAAAATTGCATCTTTAATTTGACTGAAGAAAGTCATGAAAATCGAAACACGTGTAGCAAGAAATATGAAGAAGAAAATATAATATACACTCTAAAAGATACAATATATACACAAATCCATATCATAGCCAAAAACATTTAATGGTTTCTCTCCTTTTTAAAAATATACATTTTTCTCTCGTTGGAACAATTATAACCTTTTCCATATATATATATATATAGATATATATATATATATATAATCTGCGGGCGGTTTAATGAATGCATAGGGGAGAAATAGGGGACTGTCGAGTTCGTGTAAGTCGGGTTTACAGTAGCAAATACATTTGTGAAGAGAACGTTACTACAGAGGAATGACAATAAAACAAGTGGATATATCTTATAAATTTTGGAGATCGGAGTGAAGCAAAACAAGATCCGGTTAGATCCGGTGTGCGTTAGCCTGATCGGACCCGGCGAAGAGACTCACCCTCCTAGCGAGGTTCGATTAACACTTTTTAAAGGAATGAATATCGTCTACTTCTGTTTTTATCTTCTTTTTTCATTTTTTCTAAGGTCTATATCTGTTCAATTTGGGTGAAACATAAATAAACTAATTTTTACAGATCTAATGGATTTATTTATAAACCGAAATTTTTATTACCTGGCATGCCTGTCTATTTTTGATGTACCAATTATTTATGATGCAATAAGTATAAGCCCGCATGTATATGCATATATAGGCGTATATATGTGTGTGTATGCGTGTGTGTGTATGTTCAGTTGAGAGATCTTATGCGTGAGTGTGCAGATGTGTGTAGGTATGTCATTTTTAGGCATATTCTAAAAGTGAATAAAAAATCTATATGCACAAATGAAATGATATATATCTATATATGCTCATATATATATATATATGTATATGTATATATATATATATATTGACATTCTTATGTATATAGATTCTTTTTATTTACAAATATTTACGTAAACAAATACAAATATTTAAGTAAACGCTCTGCTTTTAATAAATAGTATTAATAACATTTACCTGCCTGAATGATCGAGAAATATTCATAGAAAATATTCGTCCTCCGACAGGAATCTAACCTGTATCCTATACGGAACCGTCATTTAGCCTGACATGCCTTAACCCATTGAGCCACGGAGGAGCGTTCGATTAGCAAGGTCGATTTCACTAAATGACGCTTCCGTTTATGATACAGGTTCGATTCCTGTCGGAAGACGAATATTTTCTATGAAGATTTCTCGTACATTCAGCCCGATAAATGTCGTGAATACTGTTTATAATACAACAGAATATCTACTTAAAAATTTGTATTTATAAAAAAATGTATAAACACAAAATATCTTAAAATAATTGTCGGACTTTGTCCATTTCAATAATATATATATATATATATATATATATATATATATATATATATATATATATATATATATATATACACACAGACACACACACACACACACACACACACACATATATATATATATATATATATATATATATATATATATATATTGCACATGTAGTACTGGTGTTAATAAACCCGTGTTTGATGCAATATAAAAGTGGTATTAAGTATACATTAGTGAATACACTTATATCTCAATGCTGACAGTACAGAATCTTCAGGTGCTAACAAGGTTTTGACCGTTACACAATTTTGAATTATATTATATCTACTTATCAATGTTGGCGTAATTACATATTACTCCGGGATTACAGTTTTTTTTTAATTTTAAGTTCTGAAAATTATATTTGGCAAGTACAATAAACGGAATTTTTTTTTATGCAAGCAAAAATGAAAATTTGTGTGGAATATTCATATTT